GAACTAAAAGCCATAAATGAAATCGAAAGAAACCCAGAGTATTTCTTCTCCTATGCCAAATCAAAGTCAAGAACAACGTCCAGTATTGGGCCCCTACTTAAACAAGATGGGTCCTACACAGATGACAGCAAGGAAATGAGTGAGCTACTCAAGTCCCAATATGACTCAGTTTTTAGCAAGCCACTAACCAGACTGAGAGTCGAAGATCAAAATAAATTTTTTATGAGAGAGTAACAGAATTTGGTTAACACAAGCCTATCTGATGTTATCCTGATGCCAAATGACTTCGAACAGGTGATAAATGACATGCCCATGCACTCTGACCCAGGGCCAGACTCATGGAACTCTGTGTTCATCAAGAACTGCAAGAAGCCCCTATCACGAGCTTTTAGCATCCTATGGAGAGGGAGCATGGACACGGTGGTCATCCCACAGTTACTAAAAACAACACACATAGCCCCACTCCACAAAGGGGGCAGTAAAGCAACAGCAAAGAACTACAGACCGATAGCACTAACATCCAATATCATAAAAATCTTTGAAAGGGTCCTAAGAATCAAGATCACCACCCATCTAGAAACCCATCAATTACACAACCCAGGGCAACATGGGTTTAGAACAGGTCGCTCCTGTCTGTCTCAACTATTGGATCACTACGACAAGGTCCTAGATGCACTAGAAGACAAAAAGAATGCAGATGTAATGTATACAGACTTTGCAAAAGCCTTCGACAAGTGTGACCATGGCGTAATAGCGCACAAAATGTGTGCTAAAGGAATAACGGGAAAAGTCGGTCGATGGATCTGTAATTTCCTCACTAACAGAACACAGAGAGTAGTAGTCAACAGAGTAAAGTCCGAGGCAGCTACGGTGAAAAGTTCTGTTCCACAAGGCACAGTACTTGCTCCCATCTTGTTCCTCATCCTCATATCTGACATAGACAAGGATGTCAGCCACAGCACTGTGTCTTCCTTTGCAGATGACACCCGAATCTGCATGACAGTGTCTTCCATTGCAGACACTGCAAGGCTCCAGGCGGACATCAACCAAATCTTTCAGTGGGCTGCAGAAAACAATATGAAGTTTAATGATGAGAAATTTCAATTACTCAGATATGGCAAACACGAGGAAATTAAATCTTCATCAGAGTACAAAACAAATTCTGGCCACAAAATAGAGCGAAACACCAACTTCAAAGACCTGGGAGTGATCATGTCGGAGGATCTCACCTTCAAGGACCATAACATTGCATCAATCGCATCTGCTAGAAAAATGACAGGATGGATAATGAGAACCTTCAAAACTAGGGATGCCAAGCCCATGATGACACTCTTCAGGTCACTTGTTCTGTCTAGGCTGGAATATTGCTGCACACTAACAGCACCTTTCAAGGCAGGTGAAATTGCTGACCTAGAAAATGTACAGAGAACCTTCACTGCGTGCATAACGGAGATAAAACACCTCAATTACTGGGAGCGCTTGAGGTTCCTGAACCTGTATACCCTGGAATGCAGGCAGGAGAGATACATGATTATGTACACCTGGAAAATCCTAGAGGGAGACTAGTACCGAACTTGCACACGAAAATCACTCACTACGTAAGCAAAAGACTTGGCAGACGATGCAACATCCCCCCAATGAAAAGCAGGTGTGTCACTAGCACGTTAAAAGACCATACAATAAGTGTCAGGGGCCCGAGACTGTTCAACTGCCTCCCAGCTTACATAAGGGGGATTACCAACAGACCCCTGGCAGTCTTCAAGCTGGCACTGGACAAGCACCTAAAATCGGTTCCTGACCAGTCGGGCTGTGGCTTGTACGTTGGTTTGCATGCAGCCAACAGTAACAGCCTGGTTGATCAGGCTCTGATCCACCAGGAGGCCTGGTCACAGACCGGGACGAGGGGGCGTTGACCCCTGGAGCTCTCTCCAGGTAAACTCCAGGTATGGTACAATGGCACTATTTGGTACAATGGTACCATATGATACAATGGTACCATATGGTGCAATAGTACCTTACGGTACCATATGGTGCAATGGTACCTTACAGTACCATATGGTACCATATGATGCAATGGTATCATATGGTACATTGTACCATACAGTACAATGATACCATATGGTTCATTGTACCATATGGTACTGTTGTATTCAACACAATAAACACACTAATATTTTCATTATTATTTTGTTTACAATAGTTTACAACAAAAATATGCAAAAATGTTGTATATTAGTAATGTTCTATTATATATTTACAAATGTATAGGAACTTGACATGTTCCTCGAGGTGGATGACGAAGTGCTTTGTCTCGGGAAACTGCGGAGTCAGTAGCTAGCTTGCGTCGCCACTCACTCAGTCATGGCTGGTGTCTCATGCCACCAACACCTATTGACCATATGGTACATGGTATCCTATGTAACAGGGTACCATATGGTACATTGTACTATATGGTATAGGATACCATGCAGTACAGGATAGCATATGGTGCCGGGTACCATATGGTACAGGGTACCATATGGTATAGGGTACCATGCTGTACAGGATAACATATGGTGCAAGGTACCATATGGCACAGGGTACCATACAGTACAGGACACCATGTGGTACAGATACAGAGATGACTATCGAATTAAGTCACTCTGACTTTTTTGGGTTATCCTACGATTTTATATGTATGCTGCTATGTATGATAATCTGTGTAATTGTAAACCATACCCCCGGCCGGGATTGAACCCGCGGTCATAGAGTCTCAAAACTCCAGCCCGTCACGTTAGCCACTAGACCAGCTAGCGACAATAAGATTCATCCAACTAGGTATATTTCTACACCATAGGAAGGTTAGCACAGGCACCTCTGTGACCACAAATGCAAGTTTTTACAGACGAATCTCCAGCTAGCGTGGCCGTGACGAACTCTAGCTCACGGCCACGCTAGCTGGAGATTCGTCTGTAAAAACTTGCATTTGTGGTCACAGAGGTGCCTGTGCTAACCTTCCTATGGTGTAGAAATATACCTAGTTGGATGAATCTTATTGTGGCTAGCTGGTCTAGTGGCTAACGCGACGGGCTGGAGTTTTGAGACTCTATGACCGCGGGTTCAATCCCGGCCGGGGGTATGGTTTGTTTGCAATCGTGTCATTACGATTTCTTAAGCTATGTAATTGTATTTCTGTACACCTGAATAAACTTACTCAAGTGCATGTGGCATCATAAGTAAGTTTATTTAGTTATATACAAATAAAGTTACATAGAATATCATACTTAGCAGCATATGTTTGGAGAACCTAGGATAACCCAAAAAAGTCAGACAGACTTATTTCCATTAGGGTCCCTGTACCCTGTACCATATGGTATAATGTACCATGTGGTACAATGTACTATATGGTACATTGTACCATATGGTACCATTGTACCATATGATACCATTGTACCATATGATACCTTTGTGTGACATGGCACCATTGTACCATATGGTACCATTGTACCATATGGCACAATGGTACCATATGGTTCAAAACCATAGAATTCGTCTTCAGCTCCACTTCCATCAGTCTTAGGACTGTAAGTTGTGAAGAGGAGAGTCAGAATTTGCCCGGAGAGTGAGTGGTGAGTGAGAGCTTCCTTGCCGTCAGGCAGGATGAACAAAGCTACTTTGCCAGCGTTCCCACAATGCCATGTGGGCGTCCAGATTTTTTATGGTGTGCACACTGACCACCCAGACCCATTCTCTCAGATGTAGGCCTACCAACCTTCTCGCGCTAAATTTGACGCCGCTAGAATTTTGGCGTAGATCTACGGTTTGGACCCTGAATGTAAAGCCGTAGAACTACAGGATGGACCCTGAAAGGGCTAATAATCTGCTGTACAACTATGATATAATTCTTAGTGTTAAGTAGTCAGTAAGCCAATAATGTTAAGTCGGCCCAAAATGCCTAGGCATAATAGAGGCTCTCTTTGCATTGCAACCCATTATTGTAAATACATAATCTCAATGTACTCTTTGCAAAGACATAAATAAATAAATATATAAATAAATAAATAAAATTTAAAAGTTTCTCAAAATATTCCCACCATCTACCCAATACCTCCAGCTTCCCATCTACTACTCCCCTACTTTGTTTTTAACTGACAAATCCATTTGTTCCCTAGGCTTTCTTAACTTGTTTATTTCACTCCAAAATTTATTTTTATTCTCAGCAAAATTACTTAACAATGCCTTTCCCACTTTATCATTTGTTCTCCTTTGCGCTCTCTCACCCCTTTCTTCACTTTCCTTTTACTCTATATATCCTGCCCTACTTATATCACTTCTGCTTTGTAGAACCTCTCATAAGCTGCCTTTTTACATGCTATGTCTTGTACTATACTTATCCTCTTTTTCATAAAATATGTATTACTTATTACCAAACCTTTTTCTACACATAGTTCAGTTAAAGGCTCCCTATTTTAATTTACCCCTGGCACCCCCTAAATTTACCTACTATTCCCTCTACAACATTTTTACCCACTTTATCATTGAGATCCCCAACCACAAGTACTCTCACACTTGGTTCAAAACTCCCCACACACTCAGCATTTCCCAAATCTCTCTCTCTCCTCTACACTTCTTTCTTCTATAGGTGTGTAAACACTTACTATAACTCACTTTTCAAATACAACCCTTATTTTACTCCACATAATCCTTGAAATTATCCATTTATATTCCTTCTTTTCCTGCCATAACTTATCCTTCAACATTATTGCTACTTCTTCCTTAGCTCCAGCTCTATTAGAAACCCCTGACCTAATCCCATTTATTTCTCCCCACTGAAACTTTTCTATCCCCTTCTGCTTTATTTCACTTAGAGCCAGGACATCCAGCTTCTTTTCATTCATAACATCCACAATCATCTCTTTCTTATCCCCTAAATTAATAAAAACAGCAGTGTTCATGCTCATTTGATTGTTATATTTAATTTTTATTGCACTAAACTAACTGTATTGTCTCTCGGATTCCAGCTTTTGCAGTACGTGTTGTGAGGAATAATACCGTGAATATACTGTTTCAAAAATTTGGGAATCAAGGACCTGACTGGAAACTGGTTAGTTGTTTTACAGTATTGAAACTGATGTAAAATTTGTAGGGACATTTTACTTATTCTTTTCTTTCAACACACCGGCCGTATCCCACCGAGGCGGGGTGGCCCAAAAGGAAAAACGAAAGTTTCTCCTTTTACATTTAGTAATATATACGGAGAAGAGGTTACTAGCCCCTTGGTCATTATTAATTTATTTAAATTTATTTCATAAATTTATCTGTTTTCTTTCTTGTGATTGTTTTGCATGATGGTAGGATTGCTGGTGTCTTTGTCTCATAAACATGCAGGATTTCAGATACGTCTTGCTATTTCTACTTACACTTAGGTCACACTACACATGCATTTTTTTTTTTTTTTTTTTTTTTTTCTCAACAAGTCGGCCGTCTCCCACCAAGGCAGGGTGACATGCATGTACAAGTACGTATATATATACACACCACCCTGAGTTTTCTTCTATTTTCTTACTAGTTCTTGTTTATTTCCTCTTATCTCCATGGGGAAGTGGAACAGAATTCTTCCTCCATAAGGTATACATATTGTAAGAGGCGACTGAAATTTCGGGAGCAAGGGGCTAGTAACCCTCTTCTCCTGTATACATTACTAAAGTTAAGAAGAGAAACTTCAGTTTTTTTCTTTTTGGGCCACCCTGCCTTGGTGGGATATGGCCAGTTTGTTGAAAGAAGAAAGAAGATTTGTTTTATTTATATTTTGTATACATTAATTTAAGCATGTTAAAGATTGTGGCAAAATATATAATAATACAGTGAAGCATTATGGGTTGCTGAAAAAAATTTCTGTAATCTTATACAAACTCATTATATCAGATTTCATGAACTTGCTCATTCTTAGACATATCATTGTTCTAAAATCAAATAGAACACCCCAGTTAACCTGGGGATTTTTACATGTGTTTGCAAAAAGAGATAAACACAGTGTAATATTAACTCCACAGGGTAAAGTACAGATATTAGAAGAGGCAGATTTCACAATTTCAATGATGGCTTTGAGTGGTAATGGTAATGAAGGAGACATTGCCATAGATGATACTTGGACGTCAAAGAATGTCTGCTTTGACAACCCTGATAAGGTGAGGAAAATACCAACAGTGGTATCTGGTTCTTTATTCATTATTCTTGCCCTACATGAATATTGATATTCTATGTTTTTTTCTACAGATAAGAGTATAATTATCTATATAGATGTAGGATTCAGAAGAGTAAAGGTATATACTGAGTAGAAATTCCACATTAATAAACTATTAGGACTAAAAGGGGCTTTAAATTGCAAATTTAAAGAAAAGTTCTGCATTTGCTTAACCTAATTTTAAATACTGTATAGGGTACTATGTATAGCATTTCTAATTTATGAATTAATTACATTTCTGGTCTTCGAACTTACAAATGAGTTCTTTTGTAACATTGAACCTATTTTCCTATATAAAAATAGATGATTTGTTTCACACATGTTCTTACTGAGGATTGGAGATTGTAAAAAAGTTTTCATAAGACCCCACTTCATTTACTCTACAACTTTAATGAAATTATCCATTAATATTTAACAGTACTTAGAATTTAAAGGTTATATACTCAGCAGTATCTGTCTTATTATTTCTGAGTTGTCTATACCCCTTTATTTGTTATATTAAATATATGACAGGGAGGTGAAGGCAGCATGTTTCTTATGTGATAGACAGGTAAAGGCAGTAAGTATAGGACAGGTAGGTAAAGCAACAGGTTTCATAAGTATATTAGAGGAAGGTAAGGACAGCATGTTGCTTAAGTATTCGTTTTACAAGTACAGTGGACCCCCGGATTTCGTCCTGTGAGGATATCGTACAATTCGGATTTCAACCCCTTTTTTTTTGGGGGGGGGGCGAAATTTTACCCCAGGTTTTGTACCTCCCCTCAGAAATCCTCCATATCAGATGCGTCCGCACACCCAGGATGTGGCAGCTCACACATACATGACTCAGTCTGCCTCTGTCAGTGAGCATGGTAGGGTGGTAGTGATGGTGGTAGAGGGTGGTAGTGGTTGTGATGGTGGTAGAGTGGTAGTGGTTGTGATGGTGGTAGAGGGTGGTAATGATTGTGGTAGAGGATGGTAGTGATGGTGGTAGAGGGTGGTAGTGATGGTGGTAGAGGGTGGTAGTGGTTGTGATGGTGGTAGAGTGGTAGTGATTGTGATGGTGGTAGAGGGTGGTAATGGTTGTGGTAGAGGATGGTAGTGATGGTGGTAGAGGTGGTAGAGGGTGGTACTGGTTTGATGGTGGTAGAGGGTGGTATGATTGTGATGGTGGTAGAGGGTGGTAGTGATTGTGGTAGAGGGTGGTAGTGATGGTGGTAGAGGATGGTAGTGATGGTGGTAGAGATAACCTCTCCTCCCTCTCCCCTCCTCGCCATCTTCCATATGCCAACAAGAGTCTTCAGTAAAGGTAAATGTGCTTTATAATTATTTCTCATTGTTTTCTGTATGTAAAACTATAGTTATTCTCTATAATATGTATTTTTTGTTAATATTTTTGGGTGTCTGGAGTGGATTAATTGGATTTACATTATTTCTTATGGGAAATATTACTTCGGTTTTTGTCCATTTTGGATTTCGACCGACTTTCTGGAACGGATTAAGGATGAAAACTGGGGGTCTACTGTATATGAGAGGTATGTGTGAGCATGTTAGATAGGAGTAAGTGGAGCAAATCCTTTTTGGGACTTAACGAATTGTTGGAGTATGAGGAAGATAACATATTGTGAAGGGGATTCAGGGAAACTGGTTAGGCTGACTTGAGTTCTGGAAGTATGAAATACAGTGCCTGCACTCTAAAGCAGGGGTGGGGATATTTACAGTTTTGAGGGGCATCCAAACTGTAGTATCGGCATGCCTCTGTCAAGACAGTGATAGAAGGAATGATGGTGAAAGTGGAAATGTTCGATTTTTGCTGATGTTCCAGAGTAAACAAATGACCAACTAGCCATTCTAATACGCAGTCACGAATGGGTTGACATTATTTATACCCTTCCTCAGTGGGAGATGTACTCTGTGTTAAAAAATAATAAGACATAAATGATTTATTATTTATTATCACACTGGCCGATTCCCACCAAGGCAGGGTGGCCCGAAAAAGAAAAACTTTCACCATCATTCACTCCATCACTGTCTTGCCAGAAGGGTGCTTTACACTACAGTTTTTAAACTGCAACAAAAATGTATGTGAATCAAATGTATATGTATTTAAAGGACCCCAGTGGAAATAAGTCACTTTGTCTGACTTTGGGTTATTCTAGATTCTCTGCACATATGCTGCTATGTATGATAATGTATGTAACTGTATTTATGTATACCTGAATAAAATTACTTACTTAAGTGATTAAGATCATAGCAGGGTATATGGTAATAATACTTCGATTATATCACATGGAAATTATTCAGTTAATTCAAAATAAAAACTCTGATAAAAATTACAGTACATACAAGTGAAACTAATGTGAATTAGTAGATATATCCCCTTTAAAATCAGGCATAATTACAGATAATACCACAGACCACTACCCTACTTTCCTCATAACAACTCTTGGTAAATTACCCCAAGACACTACTAAAGTCACCTTCAGACTTCATAATGAGGCAGCCATTAATAACTTCACAACAGCAGTAACAAACATTGACTGGCACACTGAGCTAGAAATCTATACAGATATTGACGAATGTATTAATAATTTTCTAAAAAAGACCCAATACCTCTATAACAAGCACTGCCCTAAAAAAACTAAACAGATGACAGCTAAGAGACTGAACAGTCCCTGGCTAACACCCAGCATTCTCAAATCCATAAATACAAAACACCGATATGAAAAACAGTACAGAATGGGTCACATAACCAGAGACCAAACAAAACGTTACTCGTCAATCCTAACCAGCCTAATTAGAAGGGCAAAAAAATTGTATTATGAGAACAGATTATCCAACTTACAAGGTGATATAAAAAAGACCTGGAAAACCCTATCAGAAATTCTAGGAACAAAAAAGATATCACGAAATAGCGAAATAAAATTAGCAAAATCAGATGAACCCCAACTCCCACCAACAGAAACAGCAAACAGACTCAATGATTACTTCTCCACTATAGGACAAAACCTTGCCAATAAAATCCCAAGCTCAGATACCCCACCAAATGACTACCTCACTGGCAACTACCCGAACACACTGTTCCTAGCTCCGACTAACCCATACGAAGTCTCCCTTACTATCAACGCACTAAAAAACAAGGCAGGAGATTTAAATACCTTACCACCCTTTATATACAAAAAAGTGTCACAAGTGCTATCACCAATCATTGCAACACTCTTTAACAAATCCATTGAATCCTCCACCTTCCCTACAGTTCTCAAAATAGCAAGGGTCACCCCGATCCATAAAGGAGGAGACCAAACAAAGTTGAATAACTATAGGCCAATATCCAACTTACACCCTCTCTCAAAAATCTTCGAAAAATTAATTCATAAATGAATCTACTCCTACCTCATCTCCCAAAACATACTCAACCCCTGCCAATTTGGATTCAGGCCTAATAAAAATACTAATGATGCTATTATACACATGCTAGAACATATATACACTGCAATAGAGAAAAAAGAAGTCCCACTGGGGATCTTCATTGACTTATGTAAAGCTTTTGATACAGTTGACCATGACTTGCTCCACATAAAATTGTCACACTATGGTATAAGAGGGCACTCCTTCAACTACCTCAAGTCATACCTCAGCAACAGAAGCCAATATGTGTAAGCAAATGGGGCAAACTCTTCTGCACAACCAATTACAGTTGTTGTCCCACAGGGAAGTGTCCTTGGCCCTCTTCTCTTTCTCCTATACATAAATGACCTACCAAATGCTTCGCAATTACTGAAACCCACACTATTTGCAGATGACACTACATATGTCTTCTCTCACCCGAGCCCAGTCACGCTAGCCAATACTGTAAATACGTACTGAATTACAGAAAATATCTACCTGGATGAGGACTAACAAACTTACACTAAACATTGACAAAACCTACTTCATTCAGTTTGGTAACAGAGCTACAGATGTCCCTCTTAGCATAATGATAAACGGATCACCTATCACAAAGCTAACAGAGGGAAAATTCTTAGGAATCCACCTTGATAATAGACTCAAATTTCATACACATACAGGAGGGCCCCGCTTTACGGCGTTTCACTTTACGGCGTTCCGCTAATACGGTCATTTCAAATTATGACCAAAACTCGCTATACAGTTCCCCCCACCTGACTTTCTAATACGGTCACCGTGCCCCACCCTGTTTGTTTACATTCTTCGTGAGCTCAGTAAGCACTAAGTCTCTCCATTTTGTCTGGAAACTCCAAAATTTCAAATGTTTTTAAAAGTTATTTCATATTTTATATATACTCTGATAATTATACTTATGTATACCTGTACTTAAATAAACTTACATACTGTGCTGGCATGCAGGCACACATTAAAATCAGTAAGAGTGTCTTATGTCTCCAGACGTCATATTAGTAATGATTATAATAATCATCGAGTCTCATTTAAATGTCGTGTATTACGTTAAATACACATTTTCATTAATCCATCTATGATATTTTTTCAAAATTATATAATAAACACGATACATAACATAAAAAGATGATAAATACACCCCACAATAGAATAAATAAACATAAATATGAGGTGTGGTAGCAGACGCCTTGCACAAGTGACGCCATATTAGAAATGATAATAATAATAATAATCACCGAGTCTCATTAAATGTTGTATATTACGTTAATATACACATTTTCATTAATCCATCCATTATATTTTTTTCAAAATTATATAAACACGATACATAACATAAAAAGATAATAAATACACCCCACAATAGAATAAATAAACATAAATATGAGATGTAGTAGCCAGATAACTTGTACAAGTGACGCCAAGAATAACATTTTCTCTAATCTAACATAAGAGAAAATGTGTTACTGGGGTAACTGTAGAAAATTATTCCTTTCGTATGTATGTAAGTTTATTCAGGTATACACAAATACAGTTACATAGATTATCATA